TGTGCCTGAGAGAAACGGTGTTTGTGTTCCTCTGGGCAGACACCTGCAGGCTTTGTGCTGGTGTTTGGATTACACTAAACAGAACTTCCTTTTTCCCCTCTCTGAATTCTGGCCGTCCGCAGACAATGCAGCCAGCTCTCTGCACGGGGGACAGGCGGGACGCCACGGGCTGGCCTCAGGAGCCCGGCCCTGCACACCTATTCTTTAGGGTCGGATTCAAAGCACTGGCAATCTCGGCCTCTGAGGCTACAGAATCTTAAAATTACTCTTTGGTGACTTGTTCTTATGTTACCAGTCAACTTTGTAACAAATAAAAAAAAAATAGGAAATCAGACTGGAAAATGATTTTTGAGCTGCTAGGAATGGTGCGGCTTTAGTGAGTGAGGAATTTCAGACTCTCTTCTCCCCTCCCCATGATTACAGTGAGGTCAGGGAAGAAAACCAGAAGCGACGAATCTCAGAAGGAGAAGCAGCTAAAGACCAGCAAGTTCAGGAGTTTTATTTTTGTTTGATGCAATTTGCATCTCTACTTTAAACCTTAAACAAATTTCAGGATATCTGAAAATGTACAATAAACTAAAATGTCTGTTTTTAAATAATATGCTCAATGCTCCTTCCTTTCAGATGAAGTATCACTAAACTTAAAGGATCGGTCAATTGTTAATCTGAGAAAGTAGGCTATGTCTACTGTCTAAAACATCTGGAAATTCAGGGAAAGTTGTTTGTTTATTGTATTTTTATCTGACATTTGCTGATTTTTTGGATCCCCTGTACTCTCTTTCTTCAAGTCCTCTGCTTCCTTCTTGCAAGCACTGTGTTGGTTTTCCCTTGGGAAGCACCAAATACAATTTTCACAGACAGCAATTGCAAGTAAAATAAAGTCTCATTCAAAGTTTTACTCAAAGTTGAGCTTGACTTTCACCATAGCGTTGAAGGGAAAGTTCACCTAATTACACGAGAGGGAGCAATCCTTAGAGAATTGGTAAAAACTTCTGCATGATTTCGCTTATATGTGGAACCTAAAGCAATTGAACTGGTACCAGGGGCTGGACAGTGGGGGGGGGGGTGCGGGGAAATGGGGAGATGTTGGTCAAATGGTACAAAGTTTCAGCTAGACAAAGAAATTTCAAGACCTATGGCATAGAATGGTGAGTACAGTTAATAATAATGATCATGTATATTTCAAAATTGCTAAGAGAATAAATTTCAAATGTTTGCACCAGAAAAAATTGATAAATATTCTAGGTGAAGGATATATTAATTAGCTTGATTTAATCATTTCACATTGTATGCACATATTATAACATCACAGTCTCATAAATATATATAATTTGTCAATTTATAATAAATAAATAAACAGAATTGATAAAACTTCTTAACCTGTTAGGTGATGGTTCTCAGGTGTCCAAGTGTTGAAGGTCACTTTCAGTTTCCCAGGCTCTGGATAAGGAATTACTGGCTTCCGAGGCCCGGAGCTGCAGGCCCAGGGCGAAACCCGATGTGATCCTGGCTCTGGACTCTTCCCTTGAACTTGCAGAAGGTGGAACAGACTGGGCAGAGCTGATGCTGCCAAAAGAACAGACAAAAGACATTTCTCCACCTCATGGACCAAGCCCAAGTCTCCAAGATCGTGGTTATTTGTGGGGTGTTACTGTTCATTTTTGAGTGTAAGCTTCCATCTTGCTTATCAATATAAATGCCGTTTGTTCTTTGACTTGGTGCACTTGCCAAGGCTGGTGCGGCCCTGGCTTGCAGCAGGAAGCACGGCTCTGTCAGCAGCCTGAGGGAGCTCCTTCCTTAAGCAGTAGCCGAGGGCACAGACCCCTCTAGAGCCAGAAGTGACCCATGGCTGGATGGTCACATCTGAGCTTTTCTGCCCACAATCTCCCAGCCTCCTCCAGACTACGGCCAGTGAAGGGCAGCTCTCCAGGAGTGTCGCAAGTCCCTGGAGGCAGAGAGAGCAAGGAAGGGCCCACCCAAGCTCACCCTTGACTGAGGGTGGTTTCCCTGCTCACCCAGCAGGGGATCAAGCATGAGGGGCTTTCCCTCCTGGAAACTCTCTCTGCTCTTTCTTTTCTGCCAGACCTTTTCCCTGTCCCTCCCCAGCCCCGATGGCCGACATGATGCAAGCCAAGCGTCTGTGCCCGCTCGCTCCCCTGCACTCCTGCCAACCTCCTGAGCAGAACACGCTGGGGCTGGCCTGCTGCCCCCGGAGGAGGATGAAAGACACCAGGGCCTGATCCCCTGCCAGGGAAGCTCGGCCGCTCAGACCTGCATGCATTAAGTGGTGGCTGTTGTTTTAAGCTCTTGAGTTTTGGGGAACCTTCATAGATAGCATTTTGAGGCAATAGCTCACCGATGCATCCCACTGGGTCTTCCCATTGGGACCCATTTTGACCAACTGCACTGCAATGCTACTTGTGAATGGAAGAGGCTTCGAAGCCGCACGGCACTGGAAGCAGAAATAAACAGCCTTTCACCGAGTCTCTGCCCTTCTGCTGTGGTCTCTTCTGCCCACAACTCACGAGCTGGCTGCCTAAAGGGAGAGATGCTCCACACAGAGAGAAGCAATCTCTGGTCTCCTTCCTCCCCTGTCCTGCTTTCCTTACAGCCCAGAGGCCTGAGACGTCCCTGCATCCCCAAGGGCTGGCTGGTGATAGAGGTTGCCTGCCCAGCAATTCAGGGCTGGGCTGCATTCCATGCATGACCCATGTAGGGGGATAGGAACTGTTTCGGGCAAGACTTTGACACACGCAGGGACTCAAAGGCAAGGCAGCAAGACCCCAGGGAAGCAGCAGCTTGGTGGCAAAGTCCTTTCTCCACCTTCTTGCTTGCACTTGGTCTGAGAAGTGCAGCACGATGTGCTCAAACGATGGAGACCACGGGGGCAGGAATGGTTGAACACAGGACTCAGACCCTTTCCTGCTTCTGTCACCCCGATGTCTTGACTGTCCCCCGGGGCAGTCTCTCCTCTCAGGATGGAAGCAGCACTCGCCAAGGGTAGAGTGTTGTGAAGCCTGACGCTGGGGACACGTCCCCAGGCTCAGGCTCTGCTCTCTGGGCGGGCTGTTCCTGGCGGGCCGTGCAGCCTGTCCCACACGCCCGTCTCTGTGACACACAACCTCTCGGAGCCTACATGAAGACCACATTTCTTTGTCTGAAAACCAAAACTTTCACCACTACAATGCCACCATATTTTATCTTATTTTTTTCTCTTGGATCCTTTTACACAAATCTAGAAAACTCTCAGACCTCTGTCTTCTTTATCATAAAATCTTAATTTTGCAACTCCCCCACACACACCCATTTTCTCCTTTTATTTAAGACATATGCCAATTAGTGTTTTCTTACTTCAACGGCATTTTGCTCCTCCTGAAACTCCACCTGGTCTACAGAGGAATTCACCGGTAAAAGCCACTAATCACCTTGTCCCCATTCGGCGCTGAATTGTTTATGCCAGTCATGCAGCTAGATTTCATGTTCCTCAATGGCCAGGAACTTTGCAATTTGTTTGGTTTATTTTCTCTGCTGTGCAATTCTGTGTTCACTTACTACTCCAAACACAGAATGAGGGAATAACAATGCAAACCCCAAAAGAATAAAATGATGGTTTTCTTAAAAGGCACAGAGAAAAATTGGGACGTTGTAAATTATTCCAGTGCTTCTCACTTTTACTGTGCCACAGAAGCTGCTCTTTAGCATTTTGCTCTGGTTGAGCCTTGGTGTACAGACAGACAGAGCTGGAGCTCGGGTAGCCCCTGGGTGGGGAAGGGGCTGCTTTCTGGGAAGATGGCACGATGGCACCAGTAAGCCCAGGGAACGGGCTGGGGGTGGGCTTCCCGGTGACCAGGAGCCACACCAGGCAGTATGGCAAGGGAGGCAAAACAGGTGTGTGTCCTCTCCCTCCCTGAGACTCTTCTGTCCCCTGCTCCTCCCGAGCCCTTTGTCTTCAGCCTGACAGCTGAAAGCTCGTGCACCCAGGCAGGGCATTCTATCCAGTTCTGCTCTCCTTCGAGAATCTTTCTTTCCTCCGTCTCACCAAAATTCTTTTCTAATAACTATAATAGCTTCAGTGTACAGAGTTGCTCAGAATCCAATAGACGTGGAGCTAACATATTCTGGGGTTAAAATAAATTATCTCATTTAACCCTCGCGCAACAGCCCTGCAGTGATGCGGGTGTTGTGATTACCTTCGTTTTACAAATGAAACACCGCAGCCCTACAAGAGTTCCTAACTCACCCAAAGCTACAAAGCCAGCTGAGATCTGGTCCCTGAGATTTGGCCTGACTCCCAAATCTACATCTTTCTGCACTCTGCATCTCTCCTTCACAGAGGCTGACTTCAGCTAAGTATTTTGACAGTGTTGCTCAGAAATATGAGGACTTTCAGGAAGTAAAAGATCCATCCTTTCAGGTGGGGACCTTCTCAGCAGGTTGGGAAGCCTGGTACCTGGCACATAGTATGTGCTCAATAAATATCTGTTGGATGAATAAATGAACACCCGACCTGTTGGCAGCTACCTTCTCAGCACAAACTGCGCTGCTGGATAGACTCCTGTCCTGATGTTACTTTGTCACAATCTTCTAGAAACTTGGAGGAGACCAGGACTTTGCCCAGTCCTAGCTACTCACTGCATCCGCGGGAGCGGCAGGCACGGTGTGCAAAGTGCACTCGTGTGCTCAAAGACGCAGTCACCTTTATTTCCCCAGGACTAAGCTTAATTGTCTCTCTACCTCCCCATCTCTGCCAATGTCAGAAAATCTAGTCTCACCAATTCATGATAATTTAGTCAATTCTAGATTTTTTTCCCAACACTTTTGGGTAAAGACTTGGTTGATTCAGGATTCACTCCCCCTGCCTTCTCCTCCCCTTCTCCCCAAGGGTGTTGTAACTTTTGTGGAGAGGAACATTTCTCCTATAACACTGAGCTTATTTCTGAATAGAAGTTTTAGCACTATGCTCCCGTCTCCACTGAGCACGCAGGTCTGGAGGAGACAGACGAGGGAGGCTCGTGTGGTCACACAGGCTGGGGCCGTGCACAGGCCACCTGCCGTAGCGGCGGCGGCAGCCCACAGGGCGCAGAGGCCACTAGGCCAGGACTGCAGGGGGGCTTCCGGTGGCGTCTGGGATTTCTGCAGGGGCGTCTCAAAGGCAGATTCATCTTCTCTTCTGTTCCACGTGAGGGACAGGTGTAGGGGGCCCCTTCCTCCCAGGACACTGTCACAGGTCCTAATATAACCTGTAGGAGTCATGAACTCCACACTGACTGAGCCAAATGGGAATTAAAATCACCCTGGACCTGCATCCCTGTTTTTTACCCCGTATATTCATTATAGGAACACATAAGCCCCAACGTTTTTATGGCTCAATACAATCAAAATTTATTTCTCATAGAGAACAGCCCAACACCAGGGCTCCCTGTTAGCTGGCTCCTTTCCTCAAGTGGTTCTCCCACCCCCTGGCAGACAGGTGATACAAAGGCCAACTGATTCTTAAACCCTAGGCCGGAAGTGGCCATTCCACCCCCATGTGCTCACTCCCTCCTCGGAGCCACCCACACAGCCCACCAGGTTTCTCTGGTTTCCTGGGGCGTGAACCACACAGGAGACCACCCTCACCGGGGCCAGGTCACCTGACAGCTGCCTCAGAGCCTGGGAGTTAAGAGCCAATGTTGAAGACAAATAAACCCGGGTTAGAGTCCCCACCCCTCCTCTCACAGCTAGGTAACCTTGAGCAAAGTTACTCAACTTGTGTCGACTGTTTGTAAAATAGAGATACCATCTCCCTCAGAGGGCTGCGTCCAGATACACACGGAGCATTTAACACAATGTTTGGCTTGTGTTAAGTGCTTCATAAACGTTAGCTGTTATGCTTACTGTTGTCTCCTAGTCAGATGGCCTAGAAGCAAGAACTCCGGGCTGGGGATTTACAGATGTGTGCTTTTGGGGAAGTCCCTGACTTCTCTGCACTCTGGCATGAAGCTGTGCAAAATGAGAGGGTTTTGCTAGATCCCCTCAGGGGCCAGGGTGAGCTCCAGAACACGGCAAAGCAGGATAAGGAAGATCAAGCAAAGAACATGGCACTTTGTGCTCCAAACAGAGCCTCAGTTTGGGACTCTTTACCAGGTCTCTGTTACCCAAGGCCCAGAGGTTTGCTTTGGTGAACACATATCTCCTTGACAACAGTTCGCTTGGGGAGACCCGCACCCATGGGAGAGCCAGGTGACCTCAGGAGCCACTCTCAGCATACCTGGTCCAGCAGAGCCAAGGTGGCCATTCTCAAACCCACCCAGGAGGGAAACGTACCTGGAAAGGCTTGGGCTTGAGGTGACCTGACACCTTGGCAGTGGCCAGAGTATTTGCTACTCTCAATACTTTAATGCCTAGAATTCTAAAGGTCCTGTCATTACTAATTTATTGGGTATTCATTGTAATTATCTCACTTGTAATGAATTCATTTGGTATTAATTTCGATGTCATATGTACAGTACTTTCATAAGAATTACCGTAAGATTCAGCATTAATTAATCTATCTTTAAAGGGAAATGTTAACAATCAATTCATAT